CATGAAATGCCGATGAGGACGTTGATGCGTCACCCATGCTACAACCAGCAGACTTGTAATCTGCCATTTTGACCTTTCAGTCACAGGCAGATTAGGTTGTGTTTTAACGTGGTTGCCCAACAATCATGTACTAGGAGGTGAGATAGCAGAGAAAAAAAGCGTCGCAATGAATTAGAGCAAAGGTATTCCCACACCGGGACTCGAACCCGGGTCTGCTGGGTGAGAGCCAGCTATCCTAACCGCCTAGACTATATGGGAAAGCTCATGGATTATTGCAACAGCACCTTCAAATCGCAGCAATCATTGCAATCGCAGCAATCATTGTAATCATTGCAATCGCCACAATCATTGGAATCATTGCAAATACAAGCCCACACACTCATCACGAATCACCATGATGATTACATACCGCACACGAGACAATCATGCTGCTTGCAAATCACGCTACATTTACTGCACATGAAACGTCCTCGCTGCTTACATCCCGCACTGGACTTCTTGCAGCGAGCATTGGCCTCTCAAACGTCCACCATTGATATAAATATTCGATTGAACCCAAGTGCGACGTCGCACGCGCATGCGAACACAACGCTTCAAGACGCAATCAGTACAACGAGGAGCTAGAGACACCTCATGTCAACACATCTGAACACAGACTCCTTGGAATGACATATCACGATATACGTGGTACGATGTACGTGGTACAGCGTGATATGTCATTCCAAGGAGTCCCAGCAGATTGAGTACCATCGTATTGCCGCATGAAATGCCGATGAGGACGTTGATGCGTCACCCATGCTACAACCAGCAGACTTGTAATCTGCCATTTTGACCTTTCAGTCACAGGCAGATTAGGTTGTGTTTTAACGTGGTTGCCCAACAATCATGTACTAGGAGGTGAGATAGCAGAGAAAAAAGCGTCGCAATGAAATAGAGCAAAGGTATTCCCACACCGGGACTCGAACCCGGGTCTGCTGGGTGAGAGCCAGCTATCCTAACCGCCTAGACTATATGGGAAAGCTTATGAATTATTGCAACAGCACCTTCAAATTGCAGCAATCATTGCAAAATCGTTGGAATCATTATAAAAGTCGATAATTAAGGCTTGAATTCTTTGGCCGAGAAGGTGGAGTTTTACTAGCGTGCCACATTTTTATAGGAGCTTTGACTTTGTACGCGAGAAGGTTGCATTGGTCGAGTAATGCTGCAGTACTGTCCAACAGTAAACATGAAGGTAGATGACATGACAAAATCCGCTCACGAATTTCCAATATGAATATTAGAAAGACATGCTCGGGGTCAAAGCGGCATGTTGCTATTAGTTTAGTGGTAGCATTGTCAAGATGCCTCGTTCGACATATTGATTGATTGGGTAGTGAAACGCTCCAAAGAATATGAGAATCCACGGACCTGTGGTTCAAGGAAAATGGGCACGACAAATGAATATTGACCGATGTATGAGAATTATATATACGCGGAAAGGATCACTACCGCGGCACAAATAAATCGGCACTGAAACAAGCGGACCGCGACTTTACATCCGTGGACCGCAACTTCTCAAGAAAACCTTGGTCCTTCAAGGTCGACCCTGGTCATTAATCAGTGACCGTCGCTCCCATACAGTAAATATCATTCCCTCATCGGTAGGCCTAGGTATTTTCATCGGTAGACCTGGTCGATAAGGTCAAGCTACCCCGGCCAATCAGCATTAGGAACCGTTTACAGGCAATATAGGTAAAGGAGTTAAAAGATAGGACTATATTAAATGCTACTTAATTTTGGTCTACGTAGCACGATTTTGTCACGCTTTATGAGTACTTAAAATTCTACCCACCTATATTGTAAAGTGATATTTTTGGCCCCCCGTCGAAGACAGTTGTGTGGTCTCAAGTGCAAATAGAGCCCCAGGATGTATTTGGCCTGTGAGTTCGTCTGAGTAGCATCCCCCTTCCCAATCGACTCGCTATCGGAAGCGGTCTCCCTACGCTAGTGGTTCGGGAGCAAGCAAAGGCCGGGCGGTTAACACCCCTGAGACATTAAGAAAATGACCAGGGTTGAGAATCTCCCAGAAGTCGTTGGTTATAAGCCCACCCTCGACCTAGTCGACCGAGTGGCCACCTGCTAGTCTATTGAGTGAAGCAATTCCATTTGAGTCACCCCCAGGTCGACCTCTCTTAAGACCAGCATCACACCTTCACCAAGTCCTCCGAAGAGCGCTACCCGCCAGCAGACGGTACACAAGGTGAGAGAAGGTCTATATACGCGGCATCGGGGTACCTTATCTGATAGTCGGCAGTCCGGCACAGTGAGTGGCTTGGGGTCTCATTACGCAGTTTTGAGAACCCACTCCACCACAACTCATTGATGGTTGATTGGTAGATGGTTGACTTATTGATTGATGATTAATTAAGTGATTGATTGCTGATTGAAAGAAGGCTTAGGGCCGCAAAAAAAGACGTTCTCTACTAAGGACTTATATATTTAGTTTTTGCTTTGCATCAAAGTACTAAACGTCTTTACATTTGATCGGACACAGTGTACAAGCAAGGGACCTCTACGAGATAGATCAAGTGTTTAGAGGATCTACTAGACGGCTTAAGATAAAATTAAGGAGAGGGGAAGGATGGATATAGGGTGGATTAAGGCAGATTTAAGCGCCAGTGTTTACTGCGATTGCGTGAAGCATTGGCATGCGATCCACCACCTTTAATCCAGACCCCATCACGATCAAGATCGGAGCAAGTCCACTGAGGTGAGTTCAACCCACCCAGTCGACGGGTTCACAAGGTGAGATAGGACTAGCACACGGCATCGGAGTCCCCCTCCGTCAGTCAACACTTCGGGCGCTAGTGGAAGGTCGAGATCACAGAGAGGTTTTTGTGATCATCGCTCTACCACATTAATGTAGCTATATTGAATTTTTAATATGTATATCAGCATATTACTTACTATTCATTGCGCGCGGCCATTATTCATTGACTGGCACTTCGGCTGATAGATAGAGTGTAGCCAGCTTCGAGGGAAGATAAACTTCTGAGGCCATCTTTTCAAAATATTATCCCCATTTAGGTAGTATTGTCGAATATTATCTATCGTTAGATAACACTCACACTGGCATCTAATGATTGTGTTAAGGTTATGCAACGGGCTAGACAAAAGCAAGCTTTCAAAGCTATTTAACAGAAAAGACCCGTAAAACAATGTTTTTGTAAGAGCTTAATCAGTGTCATTTTATTAGGTATTAATTTCAAGCTTCTGTTACTAAAATCTCGATATAGAAAAATAGACGGCTCCTAGAGATTGTTTCGAGAACCTGTATTTTTTTTCTATTTGTCTTCTTTCCTGCTGCTAGATTTAACAACAAGAATCTCTGTTTAGCTGAAGTTTCCGACTTTATACGGTGAAATAACAATTAACTTGTGTTTATCATTTTCTTGTAGCCAAAACACTAAAAGCAACGACCATAAGGTGCGTGTTGTCGCATTGTCCTCCTGCTTGTGTAGCATCTTCGTGCATTGACTCGGGTATTTCTTCGCTTTCATGCTCTGTCTTGTTTTTGTCATTACAGTTGCATTAAGCGTGCCAACGCTAGGGTTCTCTCATTGCCTGCGCGGTGGTGGCAAGTTGACGGTGCACTGGCAGCCACTACCATGCAGCACGTACAAGTTTGTGCTGCTGTGTAAAGTTGACAGCAGAGTTGCACGTGAGGTAACATTTTTGTGAAAAGACACTGTTACGTATGATTGCAAGCTGGAGGCGCATAGGATTCACATACCGCAAAGCTCGTATCGAAAAAAGCGCTGAGATACTGTTGGCAGTTAGCGGCAAGAGGATGAGTTTGGCAGAGCGCACTGCTGCTCAGACGTCTGCCAAAGTGATTGCCGAATCGAGGAGCTGCAAAGTGAACTACAAATTTTGAGTCGGATGCTTTTAAAGCGTGACAAGCGACGTTGGTGGTGTACATTAAGCATTTGGTAACAAGAATGGTTCGCACAGCTAACGTTTAACACTAGCGGAAAAGCTCTATGTGAATCTGAAGGCTGCTCCGCACACAAGTTAATGCTCAACCTTGAGCGAAGCAAATTGCAGAACTCATGTAGACTTTGATGCCAGGCTGAATGGCAAGCAGAAATGGGAAATACAAAAGAAATCGTCGATTGAGAACGCCGTGCGTTTTTACCTAGCTTCATTTTCTTTTGAGTTTGAGTGAGTGTAAGGCTGTCATGTTTGTGTGTGGCATGGCCCAAACTCAGCAAAAGGTGATTGCGAGCAGAACCATCGTGTAAAGTTTATGTAAAAGCTTTGAATTGCCTTCCGGAGTGGCAATATTTATTGTAAATCTAAAGCAGTTCCTAAAAAGTGTTCAAGATTTCAATGTGACCGATTCCTTATGTTTTGTTGTTAAACAATGAAATAAGCAGACAGTTTGCCAACTTGACGGCATCAGAAAGTTGTTTCAACAATCTGATGAACCAAGACGATGACTCACTCATTTTGCTTTGCCCTTACTTTTACTGCACTCGCTGTGCATTCAGATCCGTCAGAGCATTTCTTGCTCACGAAACGGGAGTCTTATCTAGCTGTAACATAAGAAAAGAACCATAATATAAACCTTGAATGCAAAAAGCCCTAGCCGTACAGCTGTGGATTGTCGTACTCGGTCTCCGTTGCGTTTGCAATCATGTCCAGTGTCAGTTACAAAAGACAGGTATATAAAAACGATTTCTTCTTAATACAACCAATATATGCATTTACTGTAATAATGCGGCTTCAGATTTTGTGGCTTCGTATACTTGGCGGACGTGCGCGAGACTTCTTGATCACCTTGGGTCAAAGTCACAGAACTTGAAAAATGAGCTTAACCCCGCTTTGGCTCGATGCCATTATTAGCATAATTGCGCTTCACAATGTTGGAGATTTCATCAATATTTTTTGTTTGGAACTTGTGTTGTAAGAAACTCATAATCACATCCGCGCTAGCCTTTGTTGTGTCGACTTGTTTACCGAATCGTACAACGTATTACCAGACCATCCTTCTTGAACAGATTTACTAAAAAAGAAAGCACCTGATCTGACTCATCCTCAAAAGCTTTTGAAGTGACACCACGCATCCATGCCGTAAAGATTGGGTCCTCCAAAATCTTTAACTCTGTCTTTTGGATATCTAACATCGCGTAAATCTGAACCGCAGTATTTCCTTCGCTTTTCCACGCGGACATTTGTAAAGGTAGCAGGTTTAGCGCAATATATGCTCTCTCCCGGTCCTTCAATTCCGCAAGGAAGACCTTGCTCAGATCATCTGCAGTGGAAAGTTTTGCCAAGCCTTCATACATGACGGCTAAGGCCAATTTGTCAGATCCGATGTTACCCGTCAGTTTATACATCCATTCGTTAAACACGTGGCTTTGAAATAGCCCGAGTTTAATCTCAAGCTTACGAGGCATATAGAGAGCAACCAGGGCTGCAAATTTAAGATTCTTCGCCAAAGTTGACACAGCATCATCCCGAACACTTTCTCCTAGACCTATAGCATAGACCACATCCTCATCTTCCGTAAACTTTTTTCTCAAAAAGTCGAGCAGTGCTTTCTCGAAATTCTCACCGTGATTTAATTTCACGAAAGTGACAAATTTGGGGAAATCGGGACTTTCAAAAAGCTTGAGATCCGTTTGTGCGAGGTGCAAAACCTCGAACGTGTGATTGATATCCCATTGCGAGGCCTGGAGACGCAGCAGCTTCGTTGCAACTTCCTTAGAGCTTTCGTCCGTGGCTTCTTGTCCACGAAACAAGACCTCGGCCAGATCATACTCTTTGGTAAACTTACTGCTCAAGAAATCAAGCATTGCTTTCTCGAAATTTTCCTTGTACCCTGACTTTACAAAATCAACAAGTTCGGGAAATTTTGAACTTCCCATAAGGTTGAGATCAGTTTCTTTGAAACCCAGTTTCTCAAACTTCTCGTTGATTTTATTGCGCTGGACTTGGAGAAGCTGAAGCTTGTGTGCTACCTTCTTTGAAGTTAAACTCGTTGCTATCAGTCCATGATCTATAACCTTGGTAAGATCGTTTTCGGAGAACTTGGTACTCAGAAAATTAAGCATTGCCTTTTCGAAATTCTCCCCGTGGGCTGATTCTACGAAGGCGACAAATCTGGGGAAATCGGGACTTTCAAAAAGCTTGAGATCCGTTTGTGCGTGGTGCAAAACCTTGAACGTGTGATTGATATCCCATTGCGAGGCCTGGAGACGCAGCAGCTTCGTTGCAACTTCCTTAGAGCTTTCGTCCGTGGCTTCTTGTCCACGAAACAGGACCTCGGCCAGATCATACTCTTTGGTAAACTTACTGCTCAAGAAATCAAGCATTGCTTTCTCGAAATTTTCCTTGTACCCTGACTTTACAAAATCAACAAGTTCGGGAAATTTTGAACTTCGCATAAGGTTGAGATCAGTTTCTTCGAAACCCAGTTTCCCAAACTTCTCGTTAATTCCATTGCGCTGCAAATGGAGATTTCGAAGCTTTTCTGCAACAGCCATCGTGCTTTCTGTCGTTACTGTTTCTCCATGAGTTAGAACCTTGGTAAGATAGTTTTTGGTGAACTTGGTGCTCAAAAAACCAAGCAGTACTTTCTCGAAATTCTCCCCGTGATTTAATTTCACGAAAGTGACAAATTTGGGGAAATCGGGACTTTCAAAAAGCTTGAGATCCGTTTGTGCGAGGTGCAAAACCTTGAACGTGTGATTGATATCCCATTGCGAGGCCTGGAGACGCAGCAGCTTTCTTGAAAATTCCTTAGAGCTTTCGTCCTTGACTTTTTGTCCACGAAACAGGACCTCGGCCAGATCATACTCTTTGGTAAATTGACTGCTCAAGAAATCAAGCATTGCTTTCTCAGGATTTTTCTCGTATGCTAACTTTACAAAACTAACAAGCTCGGAAAATGTAGAACTTCCCATAAGGTTGAGATTATTATTAATCAAACCTATCTCTTTGAATTTCATGCCGATCATAGTGCGCTGGGCATGAAGATGCTGAAGTTCACTTGCAACTTCCCTCGACCTGTCAGACGCTGCTTCGAACCCACGATCTATAAACATGGTAAGATCCTCTTTGGTTAACTTGGTGCTCAAAAAGTTGAGCATTGCTGTCTCAAAGTTCTCCCTGTGAGTTTCCTTTACGAAAGCGACAAAATTGGGAAAATCTGGACTTTTAAAGATGTCGAGTTCTAAGTTGTCAAGACGGAAAACCTTTAACGTCTCGTCGATATCCCAGTCAGAGGCGTAGAGACGTACCATCTCCTTTGCGATAATTTTCGAGCTTTCTGTCTCTGCTTCTAGTCCTGAAGACAGAATATCAGCCACACCCTTAGCCCTGTATAACTCTTTCAAGGTGTTGAGCATTTTTTCTGCAAAGTCCTTAGGATATTTAGATGTCATTTCAGTGACCCATTTTGGAAATTTGTCGTGATTAAAGAGATTGGGTCCGCTCATGTAGAGACCATGATCATAAAAATTTGTCGCATCGAGGCTCATTTCGATGGACTGCTGTGCTTGGTTAAGCTTGGCCATTGCTGACTTACTAACGTCCAAATCTATAGCAGAAGAATGGACCTTAAACGATGCTCATTGCTTCTTCGGGCTCCTTGAAATTGACATCAGAGGCCATGGCCGCATTAGAGTTTAAGTGTCGATTGGTAAATAAGGTGATCATATGCCGTCTTTAACGCGTTGGGGCTGCGTGAATCACCCTCACGTAGCAATCCTGAGGTGGCATCGCCCGGAGCTGCAAATGCAAGCATTGCGGCAGCTAACAACATTTTGGCGTAGGCTGCCTGTGTTGGACAAGACTTGACAAGCATCTTTTAGTCTGGGCAAAACGAAAAATGAGTAGGTTCGTTATGACCTGAACTGGCAAACTTTGGGCTTGAACATGAGAACCTTTGGGACAATTTTATCCTGTCATCCTGCTTCATTTGGTTGGATTATACGAACAATCTTCTACAGCTAATTTTCAAGTAACATGCAAAACTTGCTTGATTCATTTGAATTATTCAAACAATCTTCTGCTGACTCCGCTGACCTTTCTTCGCAAAAGTGGCACCGGATTTAATGTGCATCCCGACATCTCAATGGGAATATGAGTGGTGTGGTCAGGCTGCAGCAGACACTGCAGGAAAAAAGCGTTGCTGTTGGCTAAGCAGTGCGTTGGTCTACTCGAGACGACGCATGGCTCACAATAAGCAGTACTGCATGATGGAAGAGATAGACGAGGACATGCTGCACGTAAAAACGGTACTATTTGCAAGAATCTGTCACAACACGACCAAACGTCCAATCTGAAGGATAATTCACTTGAACGTTGTACTGCCATAAGACCGACCGTACTTTCTTCTTGCTGTCTTCCGTCTGGGAAATTTCTAGCGCATCAAACCTCGCTCCGTACGCTGAGCTTACGGTTACGTTCATTGTTTTTTGTCCAAAACCTTTATCACAGAAAAATTAACTGCTACAATTACGCCTAGGCTGATTTGTCTGTAGGTGCTGCTGTTGTTGCTGTTTCTAGCTGGTCTCTTTGACAAAGGCAAAGGTGTTTTTCCTTAATGCGCCTATCAGACGACTCGTTGCGAGGACTTTGTAGCCAACTTGCCGCACACGTGCGACAAAATTCGGCAAAAAAAAGAGAAGCTGCTGGTTAGAGCGGCTGCATTAGTGGCACCAGGACCGCTACTGGGGTTCTTCTTGTCCAGACTCATGCAGTTAATGGTCGATACGCAGCTCCACCTGCTAGAATAAACTCTCCGAGATACATTCCACGGTCAGTAAATGCATTATAGTGGTTAATTCTCCTTAATGGCCCTACTTGATGATGCTGCTGGTTTTAATTCCATTTCCCTCTGCTCGTCTGTCTCCATATCCTCGCCAGCAGTCTCCTCCGTCTCCACCCGCTGCATCTTCGCGGGCGGCCAAGATGTCATTTGGTCCTCAGGCCTTTCACGTGCCGTCGTCACTGGAATTTCAGTCACCGAATCGCGCAAGTATCTGATATCGACAGGGTGCTGCTTGTAGCTGGACAAGTGCTGCGCTGTGATTGCCGCAGCGGCCACCACACTTGCTGCTGAGATTAATGGCCTAGTTGGCGTAGAGGGCGTCGTTGTCGCACTGCACGCCCCTAATTGGAGATTGGAGGCCCCAGAACCGAATCCGAATCCAAGCGTTTTGCGAGGGGTGAGATTGTTGGCGATGTATGACCGTGGTGTGTTGCTTTCGTGTAAAAAGGCGCCGGTGATATGAGGTTTTCGGGCCCGGTTGTGTGCTGAACCCCCAGCATTGTTGACCGATTGTGTAGAAGTTGTGGAACGTATGGAGAGATTAGATTGCGCTGAAGCATCTGAATAGGCTGAAAGGGTGCGCGGTCCACCTTCATTGCCCATGTAAAGATCCATTAAGTTCATCTCGTTGTGTGCAATAGTGCTGCTAGATGTAACGGAGGAAGTAGATACATCCGACATATTTCCATCATCGTCATGATCATTTGCTTTCTGGACACCCATATTGCACACTGAGCAAATACGAACGTTTCTAAGTGAGGTGCCTGGCACCTCCACTGACTTGAAGACACTGCATTTGCCACAGATGACCTCACCGCAGCTTCGGCAGTGGTGACGCGGGCGGAATGTACCGAAGGTGCGGCTACACACAGCGCAATGCAGACGCTCACCGTTAGGCACCCATTGTTTCTTGTCTACGAAAGTGCAGGCGTTCATCTGCTGCTTGTCAATGATGCGACGAACCTGCACAATGCTACTCACTAGCTGCGATTCAGCTGTCTTAAAGGCCCATTGCGCAGGAAAGTAACCTCCAGGATCAAACCGCGCGACGTGATGGACGCGTATTATATTCGGCTCGGGGCGATCTGTGCGGTACATGTATCCGGCAGTTATCTTTGCACGCACAAGTCCATGCGAGTTTTCAAGCGATGGACACTCGTTAATCTCAATCGAATTAAGTATACGGATGTACATTTCGTTGCCAAACGAGTCCACAATCCTGTCTTGTACCTCGAGACAGCAGTAGTCCCGATGTGAAACGATGGGCGTGGGTGTCTTGACAGCATACCACTTGATGCCAATGTACCTGAACGGTGCGAGCGGTGTGCGTGGCACGATTGTGAGCAGCACAGCAGCGTCCATCACTGCCGGGTTTAGTTTCTTCATTAGTCTCCTGAAGAGCGCGTCGTCGTGCGCGGCATACGCTCGACAGACCTGATCTAATGAAGCCGTAAGTTGGCCCTTACAGCCCACCTCGGCGACGTTACACTTGTAGGCCGTGGGGCCGCGCATCTGACCAAAATTACGATAGACGGCTACCCCTTTTTTCTCGCGCATGGGGATCCAGCTATTCTTGTGACAGTCGCTCAGTGCGAAGACCTTGCGGATAGAGCTCTCGGCAAACTCAATGTACTGACGCCGCATGTCCTCCGACACACGTACGTTTGTGTTAAAAAATCCCTTGGGCAGTGACAATGACGTTGACATGGCGGGGCTTCTATACTGTGGTGGAAAATATGCGACGACAGGTCCCAGCGAATGCGGTGAGTGAATAATTGTGCTGTTGTGCGTCGAACGATGTCGTGCGTGAAGCTGTTGTCTTCTGGGTTATTTAAGTGTTACTGACGATAATATTGTCAGTGCAGTGCTTGTGAACCTGACGACTATCGCCAAAGTGTAAATTAGGATCGTATGGCCAGCTGGCAAAGATTGACAACAGGTGATGTACTAGTCGGAAGCCGTCAATAAAATTCTGGCCAATCATGGTCGTTACTTGCATGCGAACTTGTGATGTTATGTCAATTGACACAATCCGCCACCTTGAAATATGTTTCTTAATCACTATCACTCTGGCATTAACCAATAATGAAATCCTTGTAATTACTTAACATTACAGGGTCCAGGTACACTAGTGGAAGTCAGCATCACTCGTCGCGCTAATTTACATTCGCTACTCCGTTGACAACATACTCATTCCAAGTTTAGTGACTACTTCAAGCCAATTATTAGATTCCCACAAAGAATTTGTTATGCATACTGTAATTTATAGACCAAATCAAAGAAGACTTCTGAAGCACCGCCTGCCCACAAATATAAGGAGGAGCCTTTTTAATAGAGGGAGGGCGATAATTTTAGTAATTCTAAAGATGAAAAAGTGTGAACAATAGAAACTTTTTTCTTTTATCCTCCCAGTGCTTTCAAAAAAGTAAGGGACGCAAATAGACGGCATTTTTCTAAATCTCCCATCATTCAAGCACTAAGACGCTATGCGCTGCGCAACCGATGAATTTTTGTTTTCACTTCGGCAAGCGTCTAATGATCAGCAAAAAATTGCACCGTCATTTTCTTTTTGCTGAAGCGCTTCTCAGCGGCAGCCAGTGGTTGAAGCTCGAGGAGCATGCGTTGTACAGTTGTTAGTAATTGGACTCAGTAGAAACTGCCTTCTCTGGTACCATCTTTTACCTGCTAAGCAGCTACGATCCTGACCTTAACAAGGACCAACCAAGTTTTAGAAAATTGATTTCAAAGGTTGATCAATACAGCAAAGATGTCAGAAGAAAAACAAAATCCCAGCAAGCGTTTAGAAAATGGTAAAAACAGCTAAAAATAGGCTTGACACTACGTTGTCTTTCTGTCGTCTGTCTCTGCTAGGCAACCATCAAATTGTGGCTCTTGCCTTGCTTTCCTTTGGTAACTGTTCTATGAGAGCATTAAACTCATTGCACCAAGTTGTAGTAAATTTTAGATTAGCAAGTCATGTCTGCATTGGTATTTTCTAAACTTTCCTAAATTACCGCAAGACTCAGCTTCATGTTTCATGTGGTGCACACGTGCGAAACCTTTCATAGCAATCCATATTTTTCTCTTATAAAGTGTTGTGAATCGCCATTTAAGACAAACACGTAATCATGAAGTTAATACTTGTCGTCGTCTTTATAGTAGCGAGGCAATTGCTGATAGTTGCAGTGAATGAGAATACGCTTGGAAAAAACAACAAGAGCCTGGATGTTAGTGGTGGAGACATCGCGCTGCAGTTGGGCGCCTTGGTGCTGCTACTGGCGCTCTCAGCTATGTTCGCAGGTCTGGGGCTTGGTCTCATGTCGTTGGATCTCATCGGATTAGAAATTGTCGTGGCTGTTGGTGAGGACGAGCATGCGACGGTGAAGGAACGCATGAACAGCGATGCCGCCAAGAAAGTGATGCCCTTGCGCCGGAATGGCAGCCTGCTGCTCACGACACTGCTGCTGGGCAACGTCGCAGTGAATGTGCTTACGTCCATTATCACGGCCGATCTCACAAGCGGTAGAATCTGCAGCTACCACAAGAGGACCGTTTTTTATAGGCTAACCTCATGCTTAATGCAGGTTTGTTTGGGTTTATTGCATCAACGATCCTCATCTTACTATTTGGCGAGATTATTCCGCAAGCGCTGTGTTCCAAATACGCGTTAGGTAGGGATATTTTACTTAACCCACTGCTGCTCGTTTGCACAAACTATAACTATTTGTGGTCGGGGTTGTTGCAGTGATTGGCGGCAAGGTTGTCCCGTTCGTTCGCGTCTTGATAGTTCTATTCTACATTTTCGCTAAGCCCATGAGTATGGCGTTGGATGCGACTCTTGGAGAAGACATTGGTACGGTGTTTACGAAAAGGCAGGTATTGTATTTTAAGTTTAATTCTTTTGCCCGCCTGATACAATCATAAGAATATTCTACATGCTTTTCACTCAGCTGGCGGAAATTATCAATTTACACGAGATGCAGAAGATGATCGATAAGGATGAAGGCAGCATCATTCGTGGCGCCATGACTTTTGGAAGCAGGACTGCGCGAAGTATCATGACTCCAGTTGACCAAGTCTTTATGGCTCCTATTTCTGCCGTGCTGGATTGGAGGCTCATTCATAGCATTCTTTTGAGTGGGTTCTCTCGTGTTCTTGTCTACGGTGGATCTCTAAACGACGTCATCGGAACCATCCACGTCAAAGACCTTATATTTGTGGATCCGCGGGTATGTGGCTGCTTATTTGTTTTTGCTTTCGTAGAGGCTAATGTGGTTACTGCTGATCAGGAAAAAACTCTTTTGTCGAGCTTCTTCCAAATTTTTGGTCGAGCTACCCGCGCTGTGGATCCTGACTGTAGACTCAGTACATTGTTGCAAACGTTTAAATCTGAAAGTGCACACTTGGTCTTAGTCAAGCAGCCGCAAATGACTGACGGGGTACGTTTAATGATCTTGCGGAAAGCTGATGTGGTCAATACATGCATCTGATTTCTCACCAATATTAAAACCGATGTTTCTACTTTGTATTTTTGGTAGAGCGGCGATATGCACGCACTGCTGGGTATTGTAACACTTGAGGATGTACTGGAGGAAATTTTGCAGTCCGAAATTCTGGACGAAAAAGATGTATCCGACCGCCGGAGTAGCGATTCGAAACGCACGCAGTTTCTGCTACGCCGGTTTCACGCGAATGGGCAACTAGATCTTCAAGATTTATGTCAGAACAATGGCCTGTTTGGAGACTAGCTTAATATTTGACTCCATGAGGAACGATTGCGCTTGGACGATAAGCACACGGAGGTCTTAAGGTCCTAATTTGCCTTGTTTGTTACTTCTGTCTGAAAGCTGTAAAACAAAATATGATATATCCTAGGATATGTCATTTACGCGGTTTTCCATGGTTTGCCAACAACCAATGCTTTTCACATTTCTTACACCTCGGTCCATAATATCGCTTTGTCTTATTGAAGTGTTTCGTCGCCATGGTGAAGAAAAAAGTAGACGCACGTGTGCGGACGCTGTTGGAAAACTGCATTCAAGAAAATTCTCGCTCTTTTGTGGTGCTAGTGGGTGACCATGGCAAGGACCAGGTCATGAATCTACACTATATTGTGTCCAAGGCGGCAGTCAAGGCACGCCCACGAGTGCTATGGTGCTATAAAAAGGAGCTGGGATTTTCCACGCACCGCCAGAAGCGTATGCGCCAGATTAAGAAACAACAGCAGCGTGGTCTGTACGATCTAAACAAGGATGATCCGTTCGAGCTTTTCATTGCATCGACCGATATTCGCTGGTGTTACTACAAGGAGACACACAAGGTGCTCGGTAGCACCTACGGTATGTGCGTACTGCAGGACTTTGAGGCTATCACGCCTAATATCATGGCACGGACCATTGAAACTGTTGAGGGCGGTGGCATCGTCGTGCTGCTGCTACGCACCATGGACAGCCTCAAACAGCTCTACACCATGAGCATGGACGTCCACGATCGCTTCCGCACTGAGTCGCACCAAAATGTAGTGTCACGTTTCAACGAACGCTTTATTCTCTCCCTTGCCTCTTGTGAACGATGCGTCGTGCTCGACGACGAACTTAATGTACTACCGATTTCCAAACATACACGCAAAATTGAGCCGCTTCCACCTCGTGGCGCAGCAACAGAACTCACCAAGGACGATTTGGAGCTACAAGAGCTCAAAGCATCACTGCGCGAGACTCAGCCTGTTGGCGCGCTCGTGGAACAGGCACGCACGTTGGACCAGGCAAAGGCCATTCTTACCTTCGTGGAGGCTGTTTCAGAGAAGACGCTGCGCTCTACTGTAGCGCTGACAGCTGGACGTGGACGTGGTAAGTCAGCAGCTCTGGGAATGGCGTTGGCGGGAGCTGTAGCTTACGGATACAGTAACATCTTTGTGACGGCCCCAACTCCCGAGAATCTCAAAACTGTTTTCGAGTTTGTGTTTAAGGGCTTTGATGCGCTCAAGTACAAGGAGCACCTTGACTACGAGATTATTCAGAGCACGAACCGGGAATTTAATCACGCCGTAGTTCGTGTGAACATCTTCCGCGAGCATCGGCAGACCGTTCAGTATATTCAGCCCACGCACCATGAGAAGCTTGCTCAGGCAGAGCTTTTGGCTATTGATGAGGCTGCTGCTATTCCACTCCCGGTTGTCAAGAAGCTGCTGGGGCCTTACCTCGTTTTCATGTCGTCTACAATCAACGGTTACGAAGGTACTGGCCGCTCGCTGTCACTAAAACTGCTGCAGAAACTGCGTGAGCAGCAGGGTAGCGCCGGCGAAGCCGCAGTGCGTGCTGCCGCGAATGTTCATGGCGACCAAAAGCGCCGAAAGGGTGAACAAAAACTGCATGAGGAGCGCTGGCAGGCGGCAAGCAATGCTGCTCGCGTTGCTGTAGCTGGAAGCTCTTCATTTTCGGCTCGTGTCCTCCGTGAGGTTTTGCTACAGACACCTATTCGCTATGCTCCTAATGATCCGGTTGAACGCTGGCTGAACGATCTGTTATGTCTTGATGTGACGAATGCGTCGCATCGCCTCGTGGCAGGGACGCCACACCCGCGTGACTGTGAGCTGTATTACGTGAATCGCGATTCTCTGTTCTCGTATCACAAGCTTTCGGAAAATTTCTTGCAGCGTATTATGGCATTGTATGTGTCGTCGCATTACAAGAATCAGCCAAATGACCTGCAGCTTCTGTCTGATGCACCAGCACACCACGTCTTTGCTCTGCTTGGTCCTGGTGCTGAGGCTCAGGGCAATGCTGGTCAGCTGCCTGATGTTCTCTGTGTTGTACAGGTCGCTCTGGAGGGCAAGATTTCAAAGGCATCTGTAAAAGCCCAGCTGGCTCGTGGGCAGCGCGCATCGGGAGACTTAATTCCTTGGACGGTCGCACAGCAGTTTCAAGACTCGGAGTTTGCAGCTCTTTCGGGTGCGCGTGTGGTGCGCATTGCCACCCACCCAGACGTGATTGGCATGGGTTACGGCTCTCGTGCTGTCGAGTTGCTGTCGAAGTACTATCAAGGTGAGATAACGACGGACGTGGCTGTTGGGGAACCGGAAGCGATGGTGAAAGAAGACAAATTGGTAGAAGACGTCGAGGACGATGCGACAGAAAGGAAACCAAAGCTTCGCAAGGAGAAAATCAAGCCGCGCAAGAAACTTCCACCTCTGCTGCTTCCGCTAGATGAGCGTCCATGTGAGCGCCTGCACTGGTTTGGTACGTCGTTTGGTCTGACGCTACCGCTGCACAACTTCTGGTCTCGCGCAAAGTTCCGGTCAGTTTACATTCGGCAGACAGCAAACGAACTCACCGGCGAGCACACGGCTATCTTGTTGCGCTCGCTGCGTTGCGACGATCTCCCTGCGGCTCCCGCAGACGGTTGGCTTGATGAATTTGCAGCCGACTCACGTCGCCGACTTACTTCGTTGCTTAGTTACGACTTCGCAAAGTTTCCGTGTGCGCTTGCACTTGGTCTGCTGAGCGATGAGGCTGCTGAGTCAACCTGCGTTTCATACGAGAAGGAGAAGCATATTTTGCTTCACCGCAGTATTAACAGTGAGATCACCCCAACGGAGCTCGCGCTGGTCCTAACGCCGTACGATGCCAAACGCCTCAAGTCGTACGCCAAGAACATGGTGGATTACCACATGATTGTAGATCTAGTGCCGTCGCTGGCGCGTCTGTATTTTCTACAACGTTTTCCACAGATGTCTCTATCGTATCTGCAGCGGGCGATCTTGGTGAGCCTCGGACTGCAGCACCAGTCAGTAGATATTATTCAGCAAGAGCTGAATGTGCCGTCCAACCAGCTTCTTGCGCTTTTTAACAAGGCTGTGCGAAAATTCCTCGGTCAAATTGAGCAAATTATGGAAAAGCAGCTGGAGCAGGAAAGTGCGAATAGCGAAAGGCTGGCGCAGGTGGCCTTGCAGTCACAAGCCATGGCACCGACAAGGACGACGTTAGCTGAGGAATTACGTGAAGGCGTTCAAGAAGAGAAGGCGAAGCAGCAGAAGAAGCTTTTAGACAGCCTCAATCTCATGAAGTACGCAGTACGTGGCGACGATGCCGATTGGGACGCAGCGCTTGCTCAGTCCGAGAACGGCGGTGCCATTGTACAGGTGAAGAGCTCGAATCAGACGAATTGTAAGAAAGAGCCGAAAGACACGACTGGCTTGAAAAAGCACAAACGCTCAGTCGACGGGGTGAGCAATCGCAGACGGAGCAAAAAAAGTAAGTAGAACAACTTCTCCAACCCTAATCAAATAGATTAGTCTGTCTTTTTGAATATGTAGTCAAACCAAAAGCTTTGCGCTATTGCGTGCATTCAAATGCAAAATGCTCTTATCTATTGCCCACGTGCTTGGATTCTGTAACCCTCGGTCCTCGTCGGCCTCTATACGTGCCCGTCGATAAATCCCAATTTGGATCGGCGCCAGCGTCACAAGAGCCGCTATTTGCGTAAGCTCCGCGTCGAGTCTGTGATGCGTTGAGTGGGTCCTTCTGAGCAGTCAAGTTTGTCCCCTGTGTTAAGCAATATAGATAGATAGATGTCAGTCCCATGACCGAGCAATCCATTGGAATACATACTTTCGTATAGTGTGCAATAAATGGAACAGAAAAGAAACCGGCGGCCACAACAAGTGTAAACCTTACAACGGCGCCGCTGCCGCCCTTTCCCTGTGTCACGCGCTTCTTAGCCTCACTACCGACAAACATGGACACTTTGACAGACTTTAAACATTAACATTGCCCTTCAATTTGATTGGTGGATATCATGGAAAGAAGTGGTTGAGGGTAAGTACATGATTTAAACTTACCATGTGTTGGCAAGGCGCCTGGTTTCTTAATTAATTGGTGTAATTGCTATTTTTTGTAAGATTTCGTAGCTCATTTTCTAACTGACCTAAGCAAGCGGAAGATTCACGTGTGAGTGTATTGTAGCTTACGCCGATGGAAAAAAGGTGCAGCAGCACGTAGCACAGTCTACCCCGAGATTTTTGAGGCCGCCATCTGGCCTCTTCTACTCGTATGAGACCGGCGCACTGCCGCTTTATGGAAATGAAATCATGCACCTGCTGCAGGATATGGTGTATCGAGTTTGTACCGGTGAGTTTGCCTATCTACTATGCACTACAACTTGTACGGATAGGTCGAACGGCGTATTAAAGGCGAACAGGTTGTCAAAGGTGAAGCTGGCAAAAAAAACACCTTGCGCTCGCATCATCTATTATGCATGTGATTCAAGGAGTCACCATTCCAGATTTCATAAAGGCACTTACGCGCAACGAAGCAACAGATGCTACCGCGCGTTTATCTAAACGGCAAGCCATCGACGTGGTAGATGTAAAGGACTTCCCTGACGCTTCAGCTGCCATCTATCACTTCGGCCAGTCGTGCCGATGGATCGTTGTTTATGGTGCTGACCTCTCACGATCACGTAGTAGCGTTGCAGGTTAATATACTGGCGGGTAAGGACAATTGTAGTCGCGCCATTGTCATTGGAGCTGGCATTGCAGCTGTGCAAGGAGATAATGCCATTTCTGCTTAAAGGATGAAAAACTGAATTGTACGCTCAGGCTCGCGCAGAGAATATTCTTCAGTAAACACTCTTCAACACGACATTAGAAGTCCAATCCAAATCGTACGTTTTAATTGTGAGCCTCACGATTATCAAATTGTATTGTAAGGTCATTCGTAAAGGATCTGTCTCATGTCTTTTATTGATTTCGTTTGTGTCTAGTATCGAAAGAAGTTTGACGAAAGTTCCATCTTAACTTATTCAAGATGAGCAAAAACCTGTGTTTGTTTGGTTTGAGCGTGTCTTGATTGCAGAGTGTCACAACGCTTTTTAAGTACTTAAGCCAGCAAATAAAAAGTATCCCTATGAGATTACCAAAAGCAATTATTAGCTATTGTAATGGAGTTACAAGAAGGTATAAATTATACATACACACCTGCTACACCATTTTGGTGTGCCTGACCTTGATTACATTTGGTATCATCGTACCTAAGGTCCAATGGGCTTACATTGTTCCAGAAAGCCACGCAGCCATCGTAATTTGAATAAGTAGAATTTTTCATGTTTTTGTAAAAAGATAAAAAAACTAAATGAATCAATTGCAAACCTAGGTCAGCATTTGTTGCTTAACGCATTTATATTTGTTCAGGAAGTAGTATATGCTGGTAGCGATCTTGTTGAGACGGTGATGGTTAAACCAAAAAGGAAAAAGTTTGAGTAGCTTGCCTTACGATGGGTATTAACCCTAAAGACTCAAAGCTCGCAGAGCTTGTCTTCGTCTGCTCTAAGCGAATTTTATAGCTTAGGTAAAAAAGCTTGGATACACCTGGTCCCACTTGTAGTCAATTTTTTGCACTAACGTCTGTGACTACTACTCTGCGAGCAAGTGCTTCCGAAATGAAAGCTCGTCTTGAGCGCAACCTCCGCTATGAATTTGCAAAGGTTGAGGAAAGAACTTTATTGCTTTTGGCATATCTTCCACATTACCTTTGACCAACTCACGATGCTCAATCGAGTACTACTCTTCAGCATACTACTGATGCAGTTCCAGCATTAGCCTCAGATCAGCAATGTAGCTTAACTGCAAACCGCCTGCTCATCTGCTTAACGGAGAAACGTTTTCGTGGTAGACAAGTGTGGTGAAGCGCTTCAAAAACTGGTAGGTCAAAGGGCCAGTGGGTCAAAGCGAAAGGGGATTGCCAAGGAGAGGCGACCGTTGGGTAAGGGACAGATAGACGGGGCGCTAAAAGGGACGAAGAACGACCGTTGGACGAGAAGAATTTACGGTCAAAGCGTGCTAGTTAGCCACCATTCAGAGGAGCTAACCGCGGTTAGCCCGATAGACCGCGGTTACCCGATAGACCGCGGTTCCTCGAGGTGGACCTCGGTCTTTCAGAACGGTATACCTTAATCTTTCGGTTGATAAACCCTCGGCCACTGTCATTAAAGTTTGACCTTGGTCCTGCATCAATGGACCTCGGTCCTCAGCTGATAGGCGTTGGCCCTTCGGTCTCTGGACTCTCGGCCCCTCGGTCCCTGGCCACTCGTCCCCTCCGTCGACATACCCTAGCCTAGCATAATCCAGAAATAGGTTTCGAGAGAAAGATAGAGTAAAGGAGTTAAGAGATAGGACTACAGCAAATATTATTTCAATGTGCGATCTACAGAGAACGCCTCTGTAAAGCTTATAAGGATCTTACTAAGTCTATTCTCTTGGTCCGGGAAGTTATATATTTTGGCCCTCCGTCGAAGACAAGTCTGTGGTAAGACGTAAGTGCGAATAGAGTCCTAGGATACATTAGGCCTGTGGGTTCGTCTAATTAGCCCCCCCCAACCGACCCGCTATCGGAAGCGGTCGCTATACCCTTGTAGTTCGGGAGCAAGCAAAGGCCGGACGATTTACCACACCTAAGAAATTTAAGGAAAAGGCCAGGGTCTAAAATTTTCCCTGAAGAATTTGGTTATATGTCTAATATTTAGCTCACAGTTCAATTGCGATGTTACTTATCGGGGTCAAAACACGTGGGAAAAAAGGGGGGGGGGGGTATGTATTAGGAGAAAAAAAAATGCAGTGTGTAGTTGCTATGCAGTATGTGATAGCTATGCAGTATGTAGTTGCTATGCAGTATGTGGTAGCTGCGAACGGAGCGTGTAGTTTGAAGCAGTGTAAAAAGTGGAGGTACTCCCAAATAGTCTAGGCGGTTAGGATACGTGGCTTTCACCCACGCGACCCGGGTTCGAGTCCCGGTTTGGGAATTTTGCTTTACGCTCCTGTTGCCGTCACACTTGCACAATTCGTCTGGAAGCAATACGTTCAAGACACAGCGTGCGACTTGTTCTCATCTCATGGCTGTGTGCAGCCAGAGACATGTGTGTGAGGCGTCAATTGTCCAGTCAGTAGCGTTTCGACTCGTGTAGTGTCGACGGGACCACGTAAGATGCAGCTCACAGTTCAATGTTGCAATGTTAGTTGACGGGGTCAATACACGTGTGCATACAGTGTGTAGTTGCTATGCAGTATGTGATAGCTATGCAGTATGTAGTTGCTATGCAGTATGTGGTAGCTGCGAACGGAGCGTGTAGTTTGAAGCAGTGTAAAAAGTGGAGGTACTCCCAAATAGTCTAGGCGGTTAGGATACGTGGCTTTCACCCACGCGACCCGGGTTCGAGTCCCGGTTTGGGAATTTTGCTTTACGCTCCTGTTGCCGTCACACTTGCACGATTCGTCTGGAAGCAATACGTTCAAGACACAGCGTGCGACTTGTTCTCATCTCATGGCTGTGTGCAGCCAGAGACATGTGTGTGAGGCGTCAATTGTCCAGTCAGTAGCGTTTCGACTCGTGTAGTGTCGACGGGACCACGTAAGATACAGCTCACAGTTCAATGTTGCAATGTTAGTTGACGGGGTCAATACACGTGTGCATACAGTGTGTAGTTGCTATGCAGTATGTGATAGCTATGCAGTATGTAGTTGCTGCGAATGCAGTATGTGGTGGGGGGGGGGGGGGGGGGGTTTTTAGAAGGGGGAAAAAGGGGAGGTACTCCCAAATAGTCTAGGCGGTTAGGATACGTGGCTTTCACCCACGCGACCCGGGTTCGAGTCCCGGTTTGGGAATTTTGCTTTACGCTCCTGTTGCCGTCACACTTGCACAATTCGTCTGGAAGCAATACGTTCAAGACACAGCGTGCGACTTGTTCTCATCTCATGGCTGTGTGCAGCCAGAGACATGTGTGTGAGGCGTCAATTGTCCAGTCAGTAGCGTTTCGACTCGTGTAGTGTCGACGGGACCACGTAAGATACAGCTCACAGTTCAATGTTGCAATGTTAGTTGACGGGGTCAATACACGTGTGCATACAGTGTGTAGTTGCTATGCAGTATGTGATAGCTATGCAGTATGTAGTTGCTATGCAGTATGTGGTAGCTGCGAACGGAGCGTGTAGTTTGAAGCAGTGTAAAAAGTGGAGGTACTCCCAAATAGTCTAGGCGGTTAGGATACGTGGCTTTCACCCACGCGACCCGGGTTCGAGTCCCGGTTTGGGAATTTTGCTTTACGCTCCTGTTGCCGTCACACTTGCACAATTCGTCTGGAAGCAATACGTTCAAGACACAGCGTGCGACTTGTTCTCATCTCATGGCTGTGTGCAGCCAGAGACATGTGTGTGAGGCGTCAATTGTCCAGTCAGTAGCGTTTCGACTCGTGTAGTGTCGACGGGACCACGTAAGATACAGCTCACAGTTCAATGTTGCAATGTTAGTTGACGGGGTCAATACACGTGTGCATACAGTGTGTAGTTGCTATGCAGTATGTGATAGCTATGCAGTATGTAGTTGCTATGCAGTATGTGGTAGCTGCGAACGGAGCGTGTAGTTTGAAGCAGTGTAAAAAGTGGAGGTACTCCCAAATAGTCTAGGCGGTTAGGATACGTGGCTTTCACCCACGCGACCCGGGTTCGAGTCCCGGTTTGGGAATTTTGCTTTACGCTCCTGTTGCCGTCACACTTGCACAATTCGTCTGGAAGCAATACGTTCAAGACACAGCGTGCGACTTGTTCTCATCTCATGGCTGTGTGCAGCCAGAGACATGTGTGTGAGGCGTCAATTGTCCAGTCAGTAGCGTTTCGACTCGTGTAGTGTCGACGGGACCACGTAAGATACAGCTCACAGTTCAATGTTGCAATGTTAGTTGACGGGGTCAA